ATTAGGTAAGACAGCAACTCCAGAGCAAGCCCAAGAGGTTCATAAGTTCCTAAGACAATGGCTCCATGATAATGTATCAGGATCAGTAGCAACCAGCACCAGGATTATATATGGAGGTATGGGGCACTGAAGAATTTACTAATCTTTGTACTATTCAGCAATTTAGATTATATTAAATTATTAATTTCATTGTTATTATTACTAATAGGTTCTGTCAATGGTGGTAATTGTGCTACACTAGCTCTCCAGGCTGATGTTGATGGGTTTCTGGTGGGAGGAGCTTCCCTGAAGCCAGAGTTTGTTCAAATCATCAACTCCAAACAGTAACACACTCACCTCCTCCTCCACCTGCTGCTCTTTACTGCTGCTACTGTAGTATATACATGTGTATAGCTATGACTGGATTGTAATGTGTTGTAATGATGTATGAAATGTGTAGTTTTTAGCTTATTATTAATAAATAATAATAATAATAATAATAATAATAATAATAATAGGTGGGTTTAATAAAGACACAGATGCTGGTGGTGTTAATTTCTATACTGCATTACATCAGGTTAATAATAATTATTTTAAAAATTATTAATTTTCAGATATCAGAAGATGAAAATTATAAAGAAGTATAAATAAAACTATTATAAGTATTATTATTATTATACAAAAGTCGTTAAACTTCAATGGTCTTGTCCCCAGGGTTCTGTCTCTCATAAGGCATCTTAGGCTTCTCCGTCTTAATGTGCCATACATAGATCTATTAATAATAATAATAATAATAAATAATAACAACAATAATAATAATGTTAAATCGACACCTCTCTCTCTCTCTTACATTTTTGCAGTCATTAGCTCTTGCCTCCAGCTGTGATGGTTTTACTTCAAGATCTGATAGAAACGTTGTCTCCAGCATCCCAGCTGCACTTTTATGATTAATATAGACCTCAGGTTTATTCATTAATATTTGTAAATTAACAGCAAATGCTAAGGAAATAATAAAGAGTATGATATACAAGAGTATACAAGGATATACTGACCTCCCATATCCAGGGGGAATGTTCTATCGGGTCTGAAGCTGGTATGGAAACTCACCACACGTCCATCCTGACAGTTAGGACCTTCATACCTTAACATTCCAACGAATCCAACTGGCCAGACTGAGACAATACTAGTAAACCTCATCTAAACAAAAATAATAATAATAATAAGTTAATTTTTTCAAAAAAAAAAATTCCATTGTCACAAAATCCGTGACAACCAAAAACCCATTAGTTCCATTGTCACAATTTTGCCAAGGCTATAGCCTTTGGTCTTTGGCCTAATTTTTAGTAACTAAGCCAAATTTGATCGGAATCAGCTCAAACTTTCTACAAAACATAAGTACATGTATATGCATCAGAAAATGTAATAAAATTGAGGAATTCTCTACTTGTCAATTTTGGTGAAATTTGACAAAAATCCCTGTACAGGGACTTTTGTCTAATTTTGGAGCAACTTTAAAAAATCATAAAAAATCCAAACTTGTTCGGAATCAGCTCAAACTTTCTACACAGCATAAGTACATGTATATGCATCAGGTAATGCCCTGTAGAGAGTACAAAGTCTTTACCATGTCCCCTACATGCATCAGCTGCTGGTGTATGTTCACTAACTTCATGAAACAGTCTTATATCGTATCCATTGTCATCATCACCGAAGTAGACCACACCCATTTTACTATCCTTCAGTCCGTGATTATCTCTGATCCATTTCAATCCTCTGTTCCTTTGCTCCACCCCCCTGTGGCCCCCGCCCCCTTTACGCCTTGAAACAAAGGTAGTCGTCTTCTCATGCAAATGTACTGACTTCACCTAGTTAATTAATAGTTAATTAATAGTTATTAATAGTTATTAATTAATGGTTAACTAACTATACTCACCTTACAGTTGTTCAGTACATTGGTCACCACTTTACTGTAGGTACTTGCATCTTCAATGACAATCCAAGTTACATTTGATACTAACATCAGTGTTTGACACAGTCTCACCAAATCAACTTTCTGTGTTAGTCTCTTGTATGTTGGAGTGATCATGAATA